TAAAAACTTTCATTTAGCTTTACTCCATGATAAAGGCTTCATTCGTTACAGTAAAGTAAAGATAAACTCAGGTGTGTTTGTTAGCGGTGCCCGACAAAGAATGAGTGAATAAAACGCAGGCTTGGTGAGGGGGGTGGCATCTTTGCCTGGTGCCGCCGTCCTGGTCACACGCCCGGCCTCCTGTGCTGGCCGGAGGCTGGTCTTCCCAGAGCGCCCCCGGTGCAGGCAGTTACGTGGCCATCCATCGGTGTCTTGGAGAAGTGGTATTTGGGGATTAGCTAAGGGGAATTCCCTCGGCGGGGGGTCTCTTATCACCACATCAGTTTCCCACACAGCGTGACCCTGCGAGAAATGCTGTGGGCCCTCAATGTGTTTGGCATGAAGCCGCTGAGAGCATGAAAAAGAGTCACCTCTTGGTTCCTGGGTGACCTTGGGCAGGTGATTTAATGTCTCTAAGCCCAGTTTCCTCACCAGTCGAGAGTCATAATGATATGTTAGTACCTCTGACCTTATGGGATTTCTGTGAGGAGTAAAGAAGAGAGAGCACATGACCCTCTTACTTAGCGCAATGCCTTGTGTGTAATAAACGCTTAGTAAGTATTAGATGCTAGTGTTAATGATGTCATCATGCTATTAATAATGTTACTTTAATATTATTTAAGCTAAAAATAAGTTAGGAACCAAAATAGCATTTGTAAAGTGCATAACCAAGTCCATGGCACATGATGGGTGTGATGGAGAAGCAGGTGGCACTAGGTTGTCGGGAGCTTAGCGTACAGTCGTGATGACCACATTCCCATAAAGCAGTAATAATAGTAATCATAGTGATGATAATAGTTATTTAGTATCTACTGTGAGCCAGGAATTATGCCCAAAAACCACGAGGTAGGTAGTGATGTTGTTTGTCTCTGTTATCCAGGTAAGAGAACTGAAGCTCGGAAATGCTACGTACTTGGACAAGGTCACACATTAGCAAGTAGGGGTCACAAACAGGGTTTCGAAGCCAGGCAGCATAGTAAGCGTCTTGCAGTGGGAGATGAGGCACCGGCCAGATCCTTAGAGCCCCATCGTGACTATGGGAGGTGGTTGAGAAGCACTGATCGGGTATATGATCTCCTGTGCATGTTAAAAGGACCGTCGGGTGGCTGCTGACCAGGTCTAGAAGACTTGAAACAGGGCTTTTTATAGATTGCTCGATGGCCCCAGCCTTATGCGGGCTGCTGTATTGCACAACCCCGGCAGGCACCCTCTCAGTGCAGTCTCTGTAGAAGGCATCCTGGGAATCGAAAACCGCAGTGGAGGCCCAGGTGGTGGTCACTTTCACCTTTAGTGAGTGAGTATGTTTCTAAGGGTAACAAGGACCAGGGAAAACCTGAAGCATCTGTGTAGTGACATACAGCAGGCACCCCCTTTCTGTGGCGGGGGTATGGTCCAAGACCCCCGTGGGTGCCTAACACCGTGGAAAGCACCAAATCCTACATGCACTATGTTGTTGTTGTTTTTTTCTATCTATGCAAACCTTCCACGTAAAGCATGCATTTTACGGCTTCTCTTGGGCATGTCTGAGTTGCCAGCGTCGCTCCTCCTGTGCTTGGGGCCATTATTAAATAAAGTCAGGGCGGCGTGAACACAAGCCCTGCAGTGCCCTGACAGGGGACCTGATACCTGAGACGCCACTATGTGACTAACGGGCAGATGTCGTCTGCAGCGTGGAGGCGCGGACAACGGGATGACTGGTGCCCGAGGCGGGACAGCAGGATACCACATGGTTTCATCCCACAACTCGGAATATACACAAGTTAAAACTTACAAATGGTTTGCTTCTGGGATTTTTTTATTTAGTATTTTCAGACTGCAGTTGACCACAAGTAACTGAAACCTCAGAAAGCGAAACTGCTGGTCAGGGGGAGGCACTGTTTCAGCAGGTTTCTGGCCCAGATGATCACTGCTTCCCTGCCAAAGTGGAAAATATGGGCTCCCCTCGCCAACCCAGGGACCAGGGTGGGTTTCCAGTCCCTACTCAGGCGTGCCAGTTACCAATGAGAGGCCACTGGCAATTTCACTCAATGTACAGGAATGACAGGGTTTTCCTGAATGCTGCCAACCTAGCGAAGGACCGTGGCTGAGTCTGCTAAGAGTCCTCCTTTTCCTCTTTTGTGTGACTGCCGAGCGAAGGTGTGATCCAGTTGACAATATAATATCGTTCAGGTCGTTGGTTCACTGTGTGAGAACCATCGCATCCTCCCTTCGAAATCTTAGGGCAAGGTGAGTTAATGGCAAGGAAGTGGCCAAGCTTTTAAACCACAGCACGCCATTAAACTGTAAGAAGCAATTGAAGCATTTTTGTGTTAAGTTCAGAACCTGCCTGTTTTCATAGTTATATGACTAATTCTTTCCGGAGACATCAGAAATAACCGTTTTAGGAGAACTAAATGCTGTCTTGTGGAAGAAGCAACTATTCGAGAGGAGAAACAAACCTCAGATCGAATTGCTGAGGCATCTCGCAGGCCATCCTGTCCTGGCATCTCGGAGATTAAACTATTCCAGGGCAGATGGCTGTCTTTTCCAGAAAAATCTCTGGTCTAATGTGCTATGTATGGCTGCCCCGTCTATTTTCTTTAAAAAACACTCTGAAAGTTAAGGAATTCCTTCCTCTATTCAGCTCACATCTCCAAGGCTGTAATTTAAACCAATTTCCTCTTATTCGGCCTTCTCTGGACACGGAGAAGAGCTGGTCAGCATCTTCCACGTAAAAGGGCCTTTAATCAAATTCCTCCTTATTCGCCGGTTCTGCGGGCTGCACTATCCCACTTCCTCTGACCTCTCACACAGGACTTACTCTCCGTCCCCTAAATCATTTTGGTTAGCCTTTCCCTAGACCAGTGGTCGGCAAACTCATTAGTCAACAGAACCAAATATCAACAGTACAACGATTGAAGTTCCTTTTGAGAGCCACATTTTTTAAACTTAAGCTATATGGGTAGGGACATTGTTATTAACTTAATTAGGGTACTCCTAAAGCTTAGGAAGAACCACACTCAAGGGGCCAAAGAGCCGCATGTGGCTCGTGAGCCGCAGTTTGCCGACCACGGCCCTAGACTGTTTCCAGAAGGCCTTTATTTCCCTTCATGTAATTTTAAGAAGCTATTTTCTCTAAGAAAATCTGAAACCTCCTCTCATTTTAGGCGCATTCAGTCCGGATTTTGGTCGTCCCCACATGGGTGTGCGTGCCTGGGGATTTGCTTTCCAGCACCTCCCTCATCTTGCATCCAAGTGGGTCCCATTTGGACAGAGTAAGCCATCTGACCTTTGCTTACCTCTCTCCCTCCACTATAAATACAGGAGGAACATCTGAAGGAAGGAGGGGGGAGGGGAGGCACATTCTGCCTGGCAGTGCTGGGAGCTGAGATAGGAGACACTGTGAATAGCAGCGAGTTGGAGTAACTCGGGAATAATGTGCTCCTTTTACGTGGAGGCTGGTTGAGAGACCGTCTGGTTCTATTACTTTGATGAAAAAGCAGAGAGGTTTCACGGTTTATTATCACTTCACATTTGCAGAATTGGAGAGAAGGTGGGATGATAGGCGAACCCGTATACGTGAATGATTCTTGGCTAAAATCACTCTGTACTTCACTTACGTATTCATTACTTTCTGATGCGAAGAGAGAGCGTTTC